AAAGACTCGTCATCACCTGACGCACAGAAGAAAAACCTGGAAGACAACCCCGGTGCACTTAAAGGGTATATAGTACCAGGATCCTGGAAGCGAGTCTCCGACACACAGCAGACATCAGTTCCCAAAGAGTCCATTGTACGCGCCAGACATGCTTGTTGACCTACCTGTAACAGAGTCCTCACGTTGAAAGCCCCCAGATTCAGTTGCTGACGAGTCTTTAGAATCTGCAATCTATTTTTCGGTAAACCACTTACCATACTACTTGGCGCCGAACTTTAGCTAGTGACGAACAAGTTGTCTGAGGGAATGTTACGGGTTGGAAGAAGAGATAAAAGGAGAGGGTTGGGAACGGAAAACAGGGGGATATACGAGCAGTAGTCCACTTATCACTACCCACCCCGCTCGATGCAATGGGCAGCGCGGTCCTGATTATCCACTACCCACCCCGCTCGATGCAATGGGTAGCGCAGTTCTGATTATCCTGCACGACGATCGATGCAGTATGAAATTACTTTTTGGTTGTGTATGCATTTGAGTTTGATGGACGGGTACTGCCAGGGTGTCCAGCCACTAAGCAGGAAAACGACTAGGGTTCTCATCCAAAGCCTTTAGTTCTAACAAGAACCTGACAGTAAGGTAGCGGGTAAAGCGAAGTAGAGCCCCATTTACTTGGACCGATTACCCCTCTACGGTTTTACTGACTGAGATGCTAACTCGAGTCGAACCCCCAACATGGAGGACCAGGAGACTGTTGGAACCTCTTCCTTCTCCTACGCTGAGCCCAGGCGTTTCGTTAAACTCCAAAACCAGGGCTGAACCTCCATCATTGAAAACCGATGGGGACAGCCCGTGGGGGCCGGAGGCCCTATAACTTTTGAGGTAGCTTATTTCTCGGGTAACCTCCATTTCAGATGGAGGATTGATGTCAACTGGCAGTATTTGCACAGTTGAAGCTGGTACAGGGAGGTCTTGTGTTGACGAGGGCCAGTTTAACTGAGCCTTAAAATGTTCGGCCCGTTGATCTAGATTGTGTTGCTGAATATGAATTAGTGCGCCGTCGGACTCCTTAATTATCTCACTTACATCTGCCTTCCTTGGACTTGTATTCTTAATTAATCGGAAAAGATTGCGACTATTACCAATAGCCGTAGCCTTCTCCATCTCTATATACTTCCCTATCCACCACTCCTCGCGGTCATTCCTCAGACTCTTGATGAGGTGGCGTTTAAGGGATTTGCGCTTATTTCGTGTTTTCAATTCGAAGGAATGGCTTTGCGAGCGTCTAGCAGGACAATCGAAGACGGGGAGAAACATCGTTTTTGATTTGACCGTGCACCAGAATTGCCGTTGTTTTGGCTGACATTTGGATCGCTTCCTTACTTGCCGTCCAGTGTTTATTGAGTCCTCCAGCTGATGGTTGAGCTGAGAGGCGATTTGATGGCTCAACCATTAGCAGATTGTAGTTCGACTTCCTTTGATGTTTAGTACTTGCTTCGGCAAACACCACTGGCAGTGACAATCTGTTCGGTGACATGCGTAACGTATACGGCGGTCAACGCGTATGGAGGTTGAGCACTTTCTCCAGTGGGATGATTGCAACCGACTGAAACTCTGCGTCTAACCTCATCACTTATTTGATTGCTCCACCAGATTCATGCAATATGGAGTAGACAGTGGTATCTGAACACCAACGGCTTTTCTTTATCTAGTTCTTGTAACGTCAAGCTTCTGCGTCATACCAGTCGAACTGCCGCAGCATGATTATTAGTTGCACAAACTGAAACTCTTTCCGTCTATTCCTTCATCTCTGTCCGACCAAAGTAGTAGCTGAAAGTAGCAGCCCAGACCGGAACAAGAGAGCGTAGGGTGACAGTTGAATAAAATGAAAATGTAACTTTGCGTATCAGTGATTAAACGCAAACTTACATCATTCAGTCACTGGCATCACCGTTAATTGTTTCTTTTGCGAATTAATTCTATTGTTCAGAGATTGGGGCCAGTGGCCCCAGTTTTTTTTGATTGTTTGTAAGAGTTGCATGCAAGCAGTAAGATTAAGGTTTGTTTCAACTTATCGCATCTCCGGTTTGAACTTAATTCTCTTTACAAGCACTAAGCATTGGTACAGCCTCATTCTTACGAACCCCATTCTTTCAAGTATGCAAGCAAAAACCGTTTTGGACGTGGGTGTTTCTCATCACCACTTTTGTACAGCAGGTCATTAAACCATGCGGTTGATCTGTTCTACTGTGATTCATTTCTACCAATTATGCAATAACTCGAAAGTTGTTAGATGCCTATCCGTTTTCTGACTTACCGCTTTAGATTCTGGTGACTTGAGGTCGTCTTCCGATATAACATCAATCTGCAAATCGGGAAATTGGGTTTTAAACTCCTCGTAAATCTCGTTATCCACACCGGTGAGACGCAGAGATTTCGGGTCATCTATGGAACATAGCAGGCGAAAATGTGCATTGGCATGCTCGAAGGATTTGATAGCCCACTGAATTTCAATACTGGACTTGAAAAAACAAAAAGCACGGAACAGTCAAAACCACCTGGAATTGCAAGTGATGGAACAAAGGATAATAAAAATGAAATGCCACATGACACTCCAGGACTGAAATCAGAAACAATTTAATGATTAACAAGCAAGATGAGCAGCCATGGTAAAATAGGGTAGCCTCGATAAA